GCTTAACTCCTATAGAGAACCTCTTTCTAAGTGTATTTTACACACGTTTATAGCCTCTCACAGCAGTTACTTGTTCTACTCGAGTCAGGTTCTTGGAAAAGGAATCTTTCATGCCCATGTGTATCTTGATGGAGATAGCCACGTATAATAACTGTAATCTTCTCCAGGTCACAGATTCCTTTGTTTTTGGCTTTGTAGCACGTCAGCTCAGGGATATTGATTTGTGTTGAGGAAAGAGGTCATAATACATGAAACCGCTTCCCTTAAACCCTAGTCACATGAACATGGAGTGATTTTTGGACAAAAAGGGTTCCCCCCTCCCAAGGTGTTTATATGTAAAGAGCAGAAGAAAATCTGAATTTTCACTATTCCTCTAGAGACAAACTTTATATGGTCCACAGGCATCTGACTATGATTCACTAAACAGGAATCCACATTTGTCATGTAACAAGTAAGAGAAGCCCCAGAAGGTTTATAGTAATTAGCATGAAGCATTTCGTATATTCATTTTGAAGCTGATGGGAAATTGTACTTTCTCATCTCAGTGGTGCTGTGGGTTGCTCCTGATGCACTGTGAAATCTCCCAGTTTCAGAAGGCAAGCGTGCGCAGTGCTCCATTAAATTCCTACCTGACTCCTCAAACAGGGGATGGGACTTCAAAACAAGCTAGGACTTCTGTGGGATGATAGCCCAAATGCTGACCCCTGCAACCCCATTGAATGCAGCATTTATATACATTTTAATTTCAAACATCTAAGTGGGCTCACTGAAGTCAACAGGAGCTCCCTTGGCTATCAGTAAGTACAGCCAATACTGGTCTTCCCGTCTTCTCGCTATTAAATGACCATTTTTTCTCTATAAAGAGTCCTAAATATATTATACCATCCCAATTCCTGGAGTCCCTCGCTGACTTTAACAGCTCTAAAACTGGCCTAGAATTAGAGTTTTGGCTGCTAAGGCTCTCTGGATTTGGATCAGGATTGAGAATGGGGTTAGAGCCATGCAATTAGGCACTTTGTGTTAGGGTTAAGACAGTAGCTAGAAGGGCTCTCCAGGCTAGGGTTGTCCTGAAGCTGCTACAGATCCCTGTTTTAGGGATGCAGTTCTTAGGCCTCAGAGAGGTAGAGTAAGTGGTGGGGCTGGTATGTCAACCTCATGTTTCAAAGGTAGTGGCTAACTGGCTCTGGAGCCAAGGTTTGGGTTGGGGTTAGCGTCGTCAGGTAGAGCTGCTAAGGCTCACCAAGCTAGGATTAGGGGTGTGGAAGACAGGGGAGGCTGGGCTATGATTAGGAATGTAGCTACTAGGGCTGTGTGCACTCGGTTTAGAGGTGGACCTGGTAGGTCTTCCCAGGCTTGGGGTCACAGAGCTAGTGTTAGGGGTCAGGGCTGGAGGTGAAAAATTAGGCTCCACCACTTTCCTCAAGGCTGACTGCTAAGACTACCATTATTTCAACTTCTGTATTGTATTTCTGCCTTTCTGAAGATCCCCTTCCCTTGTTTTTGTCTCTGCTTCTATTTTACTTTCCCTGTATTTCTTCCATGTCGAAAATTCTCTCTCAGTGAGTGGGGTTAGTTGACAACACACTCCTAAATTAGTTCCTTTGCTACTTATTTTTCGTGCTTTGACTTTGTATTATATTTAATTGGTTTATTCTTTATTATGTTTTCCCTTACTTTCACATAAGGTTTTATGTTATGGGGGGGGTTATTACAGTGCACTTAGATATTTCACAACAGGGACCTTCCCAAATAATTTTTTTAAAAAGCTGTACCATAACTCTCAAGTTAGCAAGGATGGACTTGGGATATCCAAAGGAGCAGTGGTTCAATGGCAACAGCTTCCTAAGTGAGACTTTGCAGTCCTTTCCGTAGTCTTCTGTTAGAATATTTTCTTTACTTCTGAAAAGGGATTTTAAAATAACTTTCAGCATAAAAAAAAAAGAAGGAAACAAAGTAAAGCAGAAAAGAACTATGGGAGCTTTGCTGAAGTGAGCCCATAATGACAAAGCACCATAGAGCTCTGCTGTGACCTTATGCAAGGTCAGTAGTTCATTCTTGGAGTTAGATGAAAGTTTGCATAACAGTGTCATGAGTTTCAGAATTGCTTTTGACATAGAAACCAAACTGCCTTTGCAGTGCCCTACCTGGAGGCAAGACGATGAGACAAGAGCAGTGAGTGACTCTGACAGTCCCAGGTTGTTCCGCTCGATAAACCTGTAGGTGGTAACCTCTAAGCCCAGCGACTAGAAAGAGGTCAGTTTGCAAACAAGGTAAAATAGAAGACTGCAAAGTTTTAAAAAAAATCCCACAGATGAAGAATGTTTTATCGCCCCGCTCTTTGATGGAAAGGAAGGAACATTTTTCTTCTGCTGTGGTTACTGAGGCACTGAAGCCTTGATAATAATGTGCGACAGCTATACCATCAAATAAGAAAAACTTTAAATTACTGGCTTCACATCTCACATCAGTGATGAACATTAGAGGTGGTTTCACTATTTAAGTGCATTATTGGCGTGTAGTTTGTAATACAGACTTCCAGCTTATTTTTCTAATTTACTTCGAAGCTGATTGCCAGCATTATGTGGAAAATCTCTTTTCTGCCCTCCTCCCTCTTCCGCATTTTAAAGCTAACTCATTGTAGGAACACTTGGGCTGTTTACAAACCCTAATATCGGTAACATAAATTCTCTCTAGAGAGACAGAGAAATTAATAATAAATAAATAGAGATTTCATTCATTAATAATGGTGATGCAGGCCCTTCCATCCTTAGGATATCAAAATGCTTTATAAACATTAATGGATTATGCATGGAAAATAGGTTGTATTCTCCTTAGAGATAGGAGAACTAAAGCTTCACCATACTCTGCTGGTCCACAGTCCTCTGCCTTGCCCAGTTGCTCCTTTGGTAACAAGAGATCTCATCTGAAGCACTATGGAATTACATGAACCTGCTATAGCTTCCATCATAGTTTCCAGTTACAATGGGCTGGTGAAACCTGGTGTGTGGTGTCTTGTACAGTTACACCCAGCAGAAAGTTAATACTGGTCATTGAAAAGAGCCAGAGTTGAGATAAGGCTGAAATTCTGGCCTCCAATTAATACCGGCGAGGAAGAGAGAGTAAGATTGGTTACAGTATTACAACGGTATCTGAATAGGGACAAAGAAACCGTGACCTAATTCTCACCAGAAACCCCTTTTTCTTAGAATTGAAGCAGCTACATCCAGCATCCGGAGGTGAAAGCTATACAGAGTTTCTGCTCCTTTGCACCACAAAAGCATGGGTTGAGTTCTACCAATGCCAGCTGTTCTGGCGACAACCATCTGACCCATTCAGTTCACTTCCTTTGTCTCCCCTCCCCTTCTTTGTCCCGATAGTCTAAGCTCTGTACAAGGTAGCTCCTGGGGAACACCCGGCCTTTATGACCTTTCACTCCCTTCGTCCTTCCCTTGACTTCTCCCAAGTCATCAGCAGTCAGTTGCCTTGTGTCTCCATTTACATCTTTGTAGTCTCTTGTACCTTGAGCAAGTCCATCATGGCCTCCATCCTTTCCTCCTTGCCATGGGCAACTGGTGCCACCTTAGTTGGGGAGGCACGTGCACCCCGCCTCAGCGACCAGTCAGCAACTGGGGGGTCCCCCATGGCCAATCTTGCCAATTTGGGGGGTCCCCCCCTCCCGCAGCCAATCTTGCCAACCAGGGGGGAGGTCCAAAAGGCTTTGCCATTGCAGCATCTTTCCCAGCACTGCAGAGAGGCAAGCTGAGGCTTAGCTTTGCTTTGCTTCGCAGTCGCACTGCTTCTGCCTGGGTGGGCTCCTCAATCTCTGCACGCGATTTATGTTGTACATGCTTCAGGGCAAGAACCTTGTTTTCATAACTACCTAAAAAATGCTTTACATGTGATTAGCACTCTGTATATAAACATTAATAATGCACTGTGCAGGTCTAAAATGAAGATTTATCACTACGTTCAATGCTAAAGGTGAGGAGGCTTGTCTCAGTTCAGACAAGTATTCATAAATGCAGCTGACTCCCAGGGATTTTGTGTGCATTGAGGGTCAGGTCCAATTTCTGTCCTGTTCTATTCAGGTTCTTATATCAAGCTTATAGCTGTAAAATCTAAGTTCCCTTCAGCAGTCTATTAAGTGCATTATGTCTGATACACGAGGCTTGCCATTTAAGAGTACTCTTTGAACCAAATTGTTTGGTACATCCAGAAAGTTGAAGTTAATTTACTGTTAATTACCTCTGACTGTTGTGAATCTCAGCTATTCTCTGTATCAAACCTTCTGTGACTGAGTATCAGAACACTTTGTGAATAGCAAATCAGCTTCCCTGTGCTGGCTGGAACATGAGGACGTGGGCTTGTGAAAGGTTTTGACATCCCGTTTGGATTTTAGCTTTTGGCAATATTTCGAGTGCACAACATTTCACCATTTGACAAAAAGCAAAAAGCTAAATATGTTTGGGTTTCAAGCAACTAACTGCTAAACATTTTTTTCAGCCAAAAGCTGCTTAACAAAAAAAAAAAAAAAAAAAAAACCCCTCTCCCCC